TGTGTTGGTTTTTTGAGACAGAGTTGAAAATGAAGATAGTGAATGTGTTGGTTTTTTGAGACAGAGTTGAAAATGAAGATAGTGAATGTGTTGGTTTTTTGAGACAGAGTTGAAAATGAAGATAGTGAATGTTTTGGTTTTTTGAGACAGAGTTGAAAATGAAGATAGTGAATGTGTTGGTTTTTTGAGACAGAGTTTACTTCTACATTGCTGAAAGAAAGATGGTAGATATTGCCTATACTTAATAGTACGAGTACTTTTTTTTACTTGTTTACTTAATTTTATTAATGTCGTTTTTTCGAAAATATTCTACCTCTTTTTTTAAGACCCCCTCCAATTTACGACCTCATTTTAAAGGCAATTTAAAGGTCGTAAAACGGAGCTTTACTATAGATCAGAACTCAGCCGCAAAGGAGTAGAGGACAGTTGAGGTACCGATCGGACAGAGGAGAGCGAGAGAGAGACACTGTGCTAAAATAGCAAGGACACAAGCGCTATAAAAATACTCAATTATCATTATCATCAATCAGCGCTGAGTAGCAGACGCGTGACGTGATTCATAGTGACATATAAATAAAGATCAAATGCCATAACCATTGACGCCATGCGACCTGGCTGTGCAGTACATAAGTGACAGTTGGAGCAAAGTTATCATTCAAACTGAAAGTATTAGAGATCAGAGGGTGCAGCTTAAACGAGCAAAGGTTCTCTACAGACTTGCTGACTTTCTCCCCGACTCATCTGATCAAACTCCAACAAGTGAGTTCCGACCAAGTTTCTGGCTTAGGCGAAGACGCGTTTTGTGTCATTTACCTCTGGTAATTGTATTACTCAAGATAAGAACAACTATTTTTGTTATTTACTTTGGAAGCATATGGCAAAATTCAGTTGCCAGATAGTTACACACCGTCCTTAAGAGAGTATAATGCAGGCTCGTTGATTTAATTTATTGCACTAAGCACTGTGCTAAAATAATTCCTTCTATTCGAGGGGTAAGCTGTCTGTTAGTGATTAGTTCGTTTATACAGTCGTTTATCAATATTTAATGTTCACTTTCTTTTTTAAACACAGCCAGTCTTTCTTGCTCTCATTTTTCCAATCTATCTACCTCTCTATCTGTCTAGCTCTGACTGTCTCTCTCTGTCTCTCCTCTCCTCTCTCTCTCTCTCTCTTCCACGTACTTCGTTATTCTATCAACATTTCACATTTTGAATGTTCCAACATTGATTCTTAATTCACTCTCTCTC